CCGCCAGAGGCCGCTGTGTACACTTCAGATCTCAAATTTCTCTCGCGAGTGCCATTCACACCTGCTCTTTTGACATAAATCCACCAGAGGCCGACTGACTAACTAACTGACTGACCAAGCGACCATCGTGGTCGACTCTGCTCTGCATCTCAACTCCGCCGATGTACATGGCGAGCTATCGGAAAAACTGCCACCAGTGGAAAAGCCATCCACATGCAGGTGAGCGGTCAGCTGCTTATCAAGAAAAGGAACAATGTCATACCGTCCCTTAGCATCTGTTTTAAAAATGAAATGCAGCCATGCGTAGCTCTGGCTGCATAATTTGTTCTCTCTATAAATGTATATAGGGCTACGTTGTCAGAATTAACCTATGTTGATTGTTTTTTTAGTTCCCCTTAAGACCCCTGTGTATTTCAGAAAAATCTAAGAACGAAAAACAAATGTCGAACAAAATCCAGCTGAAACAAAGTATGTTGTGATTCCATTTCAACAGTTTAAACAACTCACCAATTCAAACTTTGTGGGGAGTACAGTGTTTTGATTACTCAACACGAATAGATACATATACATTAGATGTCGCCTACCCTGTTGTTATCTATTGGAAGAAATGCATCAATAGAGCCGCCATTTTAGTACAGGGTAGCGCTCCTTTGAAATGTAGCGGCGCTATTGACGCATGCTCAGGGTCCTTATGCGATATAGTGTATATATTTTTGCTCAACACCTTTTAGCCACAATTGGTTCATAGCAATTACATGAGTGTGTTCGGAAGCTCTGCAATTTCTTCCCCCATCATGGTCTGAACATCATTGAAAACAACAACACTAACAGGAATAGGTTTTTTGCAATCACGTGGTTCTGGTAACGCGCAAAATTCAGATGGAGGACAGGACGTAATAAAATTAATGGGAGACTTTGTAGAAGTTTGTATTTTTATGATTTATTCCACATTTCAGAGGAGATATAAATAGAAAATAAGCACATACGTTGGTTGGGCATGATCCTTATATCATGAAGAGGGCAGAGTTTTCTACTGAACTAAAATATAGTTGCCTGTCATCGAGGTGGTTTATACTGTATAAGCTATTATGTTACATGAAAATTACTGTAGCAAATACTATAGTTTGGAAGCATACTATAGATAATTAGTTAAATTAAACTGTTGTAGAAACTATATTGTTGCTGCGGTATGACACAACTAATTATATATAAACTAATTATTCAATAGGCTTCAGTTTTCTACACTTAAGTTATACACCATCACGATGCACCACCGTTTACACTAATGTTACAGTATTTATTACAGTTTACTATGCTACAGTAGTACAGGTGTACACATTATACACTTTACTATGGGGTTCAAGAACGTTTATTATAAATTACTACAGTTTTCCCGAAGGCGGATCTTCCAGATCATTTAAATCAGGAAATCTTTAATTGAAGATTTGCTCTGACTGGATCGTTTGAATCTGAAATGTTAACTGGAAATTTGCTCTGATTGGATCATTTGAATCATTAAGAATATAAATCATTTAAAACTGAATCATTAATTGGAGACTCACTCTAATGGTTCATTTCAATCAGTAAATCATTAACTGGAGACTCAAAAGAATCAGATTGTTCATTAGTCAGACTTCGCTATCAGTGTCTCTGAGCAGGTGATTTCTCTAATTTTGTATTTGCTTTTGGAATGTAGTGAAGTAAAATGTCCACCATAGTATATCTTGAGTCTAGGCTTCAATCCCCAAATTGAAGCTTGTTGTTCAACCTGTTTGACTATTATTAGCTGAAGAAACAGAGAATTTAGCAGAATGAAGAGAAAGACTAGACTAGTGCACAACTGTTAGTGTTTGTCAGACCTGTCATGAAGCTCAGAGCACAAGAACAATCCGGAGAGTTTGACTGAAGCAACAATTCAGTCTGGGGGCTCTCTTTTACGACCACCTTCTGTCATCAACATCTGCTTTATGCTGGAGTTAATAAGAGTAATAGAAAAAAAAGTTTTTAAATTAATAACTCTTCTGGACTCAGAATTTGAAAATAGTAAAGCTTTAAAGTCAGTGTAAAGCGATATTTAAATTATGTGATTGGAGTTTGTCACACAACAGAAAAAAAGCTTCATGACCACTCTTCCTCGCCAAATTGTATTAATAAAAGAGACGTGTGACTAAACTGTTATACTTTTTTTTTGTTAAAAATAAGCAGGAATTTGCTCTCAAATGTCTGGGGGCGTGTCCACTGCAACCACGCCCACTCATGAGAAAACATTAACTATTAAAAACCCTTACAACCTGAGCTGATGCTATCAATGCTACCGCTAGTAGCATGAGCTAATTATGAGTGCTAATAATAAATAGGTGAAACCAAGTACGCTAAAACAGCTAATGCTCCTGCAAATTTAGCTAGATATTAGACATTAGCTGTCTCACTTCAGAGGCTGCATCCTCCGAAGGTTGCATTCGAAGTGCGCTGCGTCTTTGTGGCGTGACAAAAGGCTGTCTCTTTTCCAAAAAATTCGAAGGCTCCTTCAAGCCTCAAAATTTGTCCTTCGTTTCCCAGGTAATGGACACAATCGATGGATCATTCGCAGCCTCAAACTTCCCAAGATTCATTGCGTGCTGATAACGGCAGTATGCTTTAAAAAAAAACAACTCCTGTTTAAATGTGTGAATTAGGTTTACTTTATGTGGATATGTAAATACATATTACAAAAAAAAAAAAAAAAAAAAAAGAGTAAGAAATGTCTTACTGAAGAGTGAGTTTATAAACCGTTCGCATTTTTATGTGTACATGGATCAAAGGAAATTTATTTCCAGTGTTTATAAACCTTGTTTTGCCTTCAGATCGCTTACAATAAGTTTAAAATCACTTTGAAAAAAATAAGTAATTATAAATGTTATTAGCATGTTGTAACAGCAGCTGTTATGGTTGCTAGGTGATGAGATCTGTCCTCTGTAGGCTAGATCGTCAAATTTCAAAACACTCAGTTCAGCCTGTGTGGACTTCGAAGGACTCACCTTTAAAGTCTGCATCCTTTGGAGGATGCAGCCTCTGAAATGAGACACAGCAATTGTTTCATAATCATATTTTATCATCATATCTCTACAGATGATCCAGAACACTGCAGTTTGTCTAGTCTTCATTACGCCAAAGAAAGCCAATGTAACACTTTCTTTAATTTCTCTGCATTGGTGACTTGTTTAAGCTCGGATGAAATTCAGATCACTGATGCTTGCTTACAGCAGGGGTCATCAAACTTGTTCCTGGAGGGCCAATGTCCTGCAGACTTTAGCTCCAACCCCAATCAAACACACCTGAACCAGCTAATCAAGGTCTTGGAGCTAATCACTGCACGGTCAACGGCCCTCCAGGACCAGGATTGGTGACCCCTGGCTTACAGGATAGCCACTGGAACTGCACCCTCTTACCCCCACCTGCTCCTAAAGGTCTACACCCCCTCCTAGAGTCTCCGATCAGGGTGGGAGCCCCGCCTTATGTGGTTCCATCGCAGAGAGGCTATAAGTGACTTTCCAAAACCTTTTCCTTCAATGTTCCTCACTGGTGGAGTGATCTTCCCATTCCCACTTGGGCTGTGGATAAATTGGTATCCTTCAAATGAGAAATCCTTTCTCCTTCCTATTCTACCACTAAATTCTCTGAGCACAAACAAGTTACTATGAAAAATCAGCACTTCTTGTATGTATTGCCTCTTCTTGTTGAATCGCTGAATACCTCCTCAATTGTACACTACCTGACAAAAGTCTTGTTGTTGATTCCAGTTGTAAGAGCAATAAATAAGAACTTGACTTCTAGTTGATCATTCGGAAAAGCGGCAGAAGGAAGATTTTTCCTGATAAACATCAACAGTCTGAGGTATCAAGACATTTGTGCTGCCCATTACATTACAAACCACAGGAAAGGGTAAACTCTTCAGCAGGATAGCGCTCCTTCTCAACCTCCACATCAAAGTTCCTGAAAGCAAAGTAGGTCAAGGTGCTCCAGGATTGGCCAGCCCAGTCTCCTGTTATGAACATTATTGAGCATGCCTGGGGTGAAGGAAGAGCCATTGAAGATGAATCTAAAGAATCTTGATGAACTCTGGGAGTCCTGCAAGAACGCTTACTTTGCTATTCCAGATAACTTTCTTAATAACTTAAGTCATTGCAGAGATGTATGGATGCAGTCCTCCAAGCTCATGAGAAGTAGAATAAGCATAATCTAGAAGCCTTTGCCTTTCATATAAACCACTTCTGATACCAAATAATCAACTAGAAGTCAATATATTATTTGTTGTTCCTAAAACTTGAATAGACAAGACTTTTGTCAGGTAGTGTAAGTCGGTTTGGACAAAAGCATCTTTTAAATGACTATATGTAAATGTTTTGCAACTGTTCGCTCGTCAAACCAGTGTTTATCAATATGATATTAAATTAAAATACAATAAATGCAAGCAACATGAAGTAGCACAGCACATTAATTTATTGGTAACACTTTAGAACAATAGTCCATTAGTTACATATTTACTAATATTAAGTATGAATAATTTTGTATTTATTAATTATAGTTCAACATTAACTAGTGCCTTATTAAAATCCAAAGTTGTGCTTGTTAACATTAGTTAATGCACTCTTGAGCTAACATGATCTAACATTATTTAATTTAAATAAGATTAACAAATATGAATAAACACCGTAATAAATACATTACCAATCTTTTGTTCATGTTAATAAATACATAAACTACTGGACCGTTATTTTAAAGTGTACCAATTAATTTATTGTTGATCCTCTGTTAGAAACGGTCTTCAGTTGATTATTGAGGTCAAACAGGCCTCACTAAAGTTGTTAATTAATTAACACTGAGGGAAAATACATACGTTGAATGAATTATATGTGTGTATTTTAATCTTTATATATTTTTTATCAAAGAACATGATGCCAAACTCTGATATTAAAGTCATTTCAACCACCGAACATCAAAGACACACAGACCAGATGGATGTAAAAGAGCAAAATGTGACTTTAATGAACACCCGCCATTTTGACACTTTTTTGACACAGTTTTAGGCATGTAGGTGAAACAGCTGTGATTAGAGCTCAATATTTCAATAAATTAATCCGTATGAAACGGGCTGAGGCACACATCCGTACAGTTTATGGCCTTCTTCACAGAGCTAGCATAGCCAGCTAACCACAGTATCAAAACATTTTAGGGTTAAACTGGCATCCGCTGTAATCTACCTTTACAAACACTCCCCTAGTTTAGTAGTAGAGATGTTTTAGTTAAAAAAAAAAAAAACACAAAACAAAGAAACCGGGCTTTAAAAATGAACCTGTTTGGCTCAGGCTAATTAATAATGTTTTGTTGACGCTTTGTTTTCCCTTTCCACCAAGACATTCTGTAGTTGAAGGAAAACCCTGAATGCAAAATGCAGCTTGACTCTTTCTAGAGACTCGTATTTATTTCCCTTTTGTGTTTTGGCAGCGTATGGTTTTGTTGTTAGCTAGAAGTCAATGTTAGAACCGCTCTCCCTGTTTCATTATTTAATAGTTGTGATATTTCCCAAGTGTTAAAAAGAAGTTCATTTCAGATAGTAGTGGCGTGTACCTTTGTTAACAGAAGAGGCTCGATTGCGGCACAATTTCAGGGTGTAAGAGTGTTCAGCTTTTGTAAGATTCATCAAAGTGCTTATATTTTCCCGCATGCCAATGTTCTCAGTTTCTGCTCCATAACAGACCTGAAAATTCAACGAGGAGCTCTTCCTTCATCACAGATCACAGCGTATATATTACGGCAAAGGAATATTCCAGATTAAACACTAGATATTGATAGCAAATATAATACTTGATCTGTTTTGTGTGTGTGTGTGTGTGTGTACTTGTTTATGTGGTTTACATGAATGCAAACTTGTTGGGATGAACTAGTTGTACTCTAAGGTGGTTTATGAGGACTGTTTTGTGTCCTTGTCATTCAAAATGCTTAAAATACTTAACAGGGTTTTTCAACATTCAAAATTTGCCACCAGTTTTCTCCAAGGGTTGGGTTTAGGGGTACGTTAAGGCCATATAACAAGCAGTTTTTACAGTATAAAGTAGATTACTACTATGGAGAGTCTTGGTAAAGCATGTAAATGTGTGTGTCGTTAACTTTAAGACTGCTTGACAACTATTTTAATAGTAAATTTTCATTATTTATTGAGTTACAATTAGCAATTAACGTCAATTCTAGAGATTTAAGAAAAACCCTCTGATGCTCTTTGATTGGAAATAGGCGTATAGAAAATGAATGAATTACTCTCTAAGCACATCTTTAGAGATGTCAAACTCAAATAAGTAAACAAATCTCTTTAATTTTCCGATTTTACATTGTCTACGTTTACATGGACATCAGTTATCGATTGTTTGCCTTAATGTGATTTGCTTCATGAATGTTTCTTTCATGATCTCGTTTTACATGTCAGCACATAATTCGATTACCTTCATCGCGTCACCACGCTATCTTCATTTCCTCCAGAGTTTCATGTTATTTCGGGCGTTTAATTTTTAATTTGTCGACTTTAACTGTAATTGGCACTTTCACTTTCATTCAAGAACATTTCATGCATGTCCCTGTTTCTAACATGAAGTTGCATGCGAGTATGAACTTATGGAAGTTGTAATGGAATGGGATACTGCACGCTGTATGAGCAAATAAACCTCCGCATTTCACAATGTGTGCATCTGTGGTCCTTCACCGACTCGGTCGGTGCAGAGAATATTGTCAAACAGCCTGTATAGACTATCTTGTTGCAAAATACGTCGAAAATCCTACATGATGGTAATAGGTTGATTGTTAGGTGTTTAAATACTACACTTCAATAATTCGAATAAAATCAGCATACTCCACATCTTACTCCAATTTCTGTTTATTTTGATTATGACCTTTGGATTAAATTAATCAAAAATCACTGTTTACATGGTAGACTCTGAATCAGAGTATTGTCTTAATTATTAAAATCGGATTATTGGTGTCCATGTAAACATACTGTCATTTAGCAGACGCTTTTGTCCTTTTTGTTTTGGGCTTTGAGTTTCAATTTCAATTCTATATTAAAAAAAATAGAGGTTCCATATAAAATGTTCAACTCATATTTCGTGGATTTTGTTTATAACAATTAAGCACTTTTTCATTTCATTTTCCTGCTAAAGCAATAATCTGCCACAAGTCGACTTTTTAAAAAGTATGTGCTCAAAGTACTCACCATTCACTATGGGTTAAGTTAAAATGTTATTTTAAAAATATGTTGAAACTGTTGATTATAATTGCTTCTAACATATATTTTAGTAACAGTAAGTCAGTAAATAAAAAAAAAACTAATTGAATAAAAGAGCATCCGAGGACTGTTTATTTTTGTTTTTTAGATTAACACTCATGAGCACTACATTTATTTAATAAAAACTTAAGTAAAAGAAGTTCAAAAGAACTTAAATCCTTCAGTAAAAACGTATTTACTGTCTCGTTTGATTTATTTTATGTATCTATGCCAAAAAAAGGCAAATGACCTCCTCAAATCTGAACTGTGGAATTGTTCACAATTTAAAAAATGACCTAATATTCATTACTTTTCTAGTTCTTTTTTCACCACCTATTTATTACCATGGGTACTCAATATCTCATGTTTAACCTGGAATATTCCTATAATCCGACCAATTTAAACTTATATTAACTTCAAGTGCGTGACAAATTTCCCATTTTTGTGAAAGGTAACACAACACCGACATCTCCAGACAAAAACCAAGCTTGTGGCAATAAGGCACTGCTTATAAAACTGGGAAAAGCAGGAGAGATCTTAAAAAAAAACAAGAATCACTCTGATCTCACCATGCACCGAATAGTCCGACACTCGTTTGTAAAAGTTACAGTATACATACATTCATATCTTTATATATGAAAACTCTTATGTACAGCTCCAAGCCCGACGTTATAGCACTCTGTCATATATTTTGCATGCGTCAAATGCAAATCACATTTCTGAAGTGTGAATGAAGCCTCCCTGAGGAGGATTTATACCTATATACATCAATAACGCTCGTATGGGACGTCGTCATCGCCCCGTTCAAGCTTTATAACCTTCAAACTCCGGACGCCCCTAATTCTGTTCAGAAAATCGGGGCGGGTTTTTTCTGCGCCCCTCAGTGTGAGGTAGCAGTTCTCAGTGCAAAAGGATGTCAAGAAGAGGCTTGGTGTGGCGTTAGTCACTGTCCCGCCTAAAGGATTGGCTCTGGTTTAGAGCTGAACTGGGCGCGTGTGTGTGTCCGTTGGGTAATAGAGTCTGTGTGAGCTCTGACCCAATGTCACAGTCCTCAGACAGCAGTTTTACTGGCCGATGGTACGACTCCTCCAGTGACAGTGGTGTGTCTGACTTGTTCACCAACAATCCTGAGAGAAAGCAGAAAACACACGATGTTAGTGTTGTGATATAGTGTCGATTAGCCTCTTTCACACACCGTTACCAGTAAATATCCGAGAAATTACCAGAACCACTTTACCGGTAAATTAAAATATGTGCTGTTCACACAGGCAAGGACATTCTGGAACTTATGCGGAAACAACCATTCACACATCTATTCCAAAATATGGGTAAATTCTGACATCATTAGCCAAAAATTAGCTCTAAACGTTTGCGCTTTTTCTTGATGGTTTCACTTTTATTTCAAACTTTAGCATTCATGTAGCTACTTTTGTTCCAGAATGGAACAAATAACTTGGAAAAAATCCATTAATGTTACTATCCAAAGGCAGAGGCGCTAACCACAGCTAAAAACAGCTTTGTTGACTCATTTGACGACATTACAAATTGTGAACACTTTCGCATATCAAATAAGCATTTGAGTTTCTACTGCAGCTTGTTATATACTTTTTTAAAATGAAAGACCATTGGTGTTGTAGGCTACTCAAATCTGATTCACAGGAGCGCTTCTTTACATGCACATGCAGAGCTGGCAGGTAAACTCACAGCGGTTTATCATAGGCATTTATCAATCATTTTGTTCACAGTTGGCACTAAGAAGGAACATATAAACATTATATGACTATCAAGCAGCAGCCTAATGTCTCTGAAGGATTTAGAGTATTTTAATTTCTTAAAATCGTGGATGTAAATTCGTCTGATTGGTCGTAGTAGAAGTCCACGTCAGTAAATAAATGTGATGCACTCTTTCTGGCAACTTTCCTTCTACATTTACACAAAGCATTCCAGGAAATTACCAGAAATGTTACAACTTCTCTTTACGGAAAATAGCCGAAATTAATTTACCGGTGTTGCTGGTAATTTTTCGGAAATGTCTGTATATGTGAAAGGGGCTATTGTGTTATTTTGCCGCAGCACTGCTATTTTTTATTTATTTTCTCGCAGCCCCATGAGCAAAATGCAACCTGCAGGTTAATGATGACACGTAACTATCATTAGACCCCAAACAGCGGCACCTTAGTGAATATAAGAATTTGAATAATTAATATTAATGAATATTTCACCTGCTCGATGAAAATCAGATGATTCACTACATTAATAAATCTGGCATAACTTGATCAGAAATCTAAAAAGTGGATAAAAAGATTAAGCCATCAATAGAAAGTAATACTGTGGTTAAAAGAGTCTCGCAGATAACAGTGCAATACTTGTTTATTATTCCAAACGCGCCCGCATAACAGCGCCATTGTGGTCCAGTGGTCATCACATTGGGTTACGACACCGCCGATTATTATTATGATTTTTTTCCCCTCCATTTTTAGTGTTATGACATGTAATACTGTTTGAGTTACTTATATATATATATATATATATATATATATATATATATTAGTTTTTTTGTGACCACAGTTACAAAGGACTGGATATCTATAAATAATTTTGCATAGAATATATATTCAGAAATTGCAGGAAAGCTTTTTACACTGTTTCTAATTTGCAGGTCAAGCCCAATTAAAGCATAAACTAAAATGCAGTCAAAGTATAAGTAGCAGAAGTGAATGAATAGATTTTTCCTACAAGCAAATCTTAATCCAAGTAAAAGAAACTGACAGCAAATATAAAAGCAGACACTTACATGCTATACCACATATACTGCTATATCACTATTGATTAAATCACTGAAGAATATCCAAAAGATAAGTTAGACGTAAGAATCAGGGCCGTGACAGGGACATGACGGTTTTAAATGACTGAAAATGGTTGCCACATTTGTTATAATATCTGTTCTGTTCTGTTGATATGTAATCCAAATACTCGTAGCTTGAAACAGACGGAAATATGACTGGTTTTAAGCTGTGTTTCGAAGGAGATCCCAGTTTAGATGTCATTATGGCCTATTATTTTTTGCCCCCCAGGTCTCAGCACAGTTCATGTGACTAAAAACAAATCGACAAATCAATGGATCTACTGGTAGTAAAGTCAAAATGTAACATCCATGTCAAAGCTGGAACAAAAATGAGTATTTTATTTATGTCGGCTGTCACCAGAAATAAATCATTACTAACCCAAGAAGAATGCTGTGACATGTCAGCAGGAAACGCGTTACTCATAGATTCTAAACATTTTTAATTGATTCCTCAAGTTTGTTTTACAATTCTGTGGCTGGCCGGTTAATGCGTTCAAAAGCTAAACGAAACTGTTGTAAGGAACAAAAATCTAGCTGCGACATCGGTTTATGTTTAAGCTATTACTAAAAAAAGGTTTTACTATGACCACATGTATTGTCATCTTATTAAGCATAATCAGGTAAAGATTGTGCATTCAATGACACTTAAAATATGTTTTTTTTCAGGAAGTATGATTTAGCAAGTCTTGATTTTATTCGTTTTTCTCACCATTTCGGTCACTGTACTGGTTTGATGAGGGTGATATTGTCACCCTGTCGTGGTTGGTGGGAAAGATGGGTGTTTGGTTGTCTTTTCTAAGGCCGTTTGGAGTGCCGTTGCAGTGTGGTTCATTGCTGAGGCTGGTGAAAGTTGATGTTTGGTGCGTCTGCTGATACTCCATGCCTGAAGGGGGCGCTAAATCGTGAGGGAGGTAGTTACAGTGTTTGGAGTAGCTGGTGCTGTTTTCCAAGCAGTCTGCGCACACGACCGGCACATCGTAGCCTGAAAGACAGAAACTTGTTTACGACTTACTAAGAAAGTTTAAAGTTGAAATAAGTCTCATTAAACACACATACATAGATACAAGACTATACAAAACAACTTTAGATATATACATTTACATATAATTTGTACCATATACATATGTTTTATATCTAAATATAAATTAAAAAAATCAAATATATGCATGCATGTGTAGATATACACACACACACACACACACACATATACATACATATATACATGTACACACACACACACACACACACACACACACACACACATATATATATATATATATACATACATACATACACGCATATATATGTGTATATACACACACACACACACACACACACACACACACACACACACACACACACACACACACACACACACACACACACACACACACTGTGATTGTATTGTACTGTAAATGGAATCTACCTTACATATTTGTAAATTTTCTAAATATTTTGGTACTACTCATTCCACCACATTTTAAACTAACTATATCATAATTTGAATTTTAAAACGGAATGTTTTTCTCCTGCTATTACTCCATATTTAACACATTTTAAATCTACAGTAAAGATTTTCTCTGAAAAGCAGGAAAATTGTACCATTGCTTTCTATTCGTCCATTGGGCTGAGATCCCCCATTGGACTCCACTCGTATACACACGTCCTGTCTTTCTGATAAAGTGCCCTGAGAGGACAGGTAACTGGGAACATCAGGAGGGACAATCGTCTCATCTATAATTGGCAAGAGTAAAAGTTATAGATGAACATCCAGCATCATAAACCAAAATCTTAAAATCTGTGTGAACACACGCACCTGTGTTTACACTGCACTCCTCGCTCTTCTTCCTGGTCTGATAGATAATACACACCCAAACTAGTGAAGTCACCACAATACTGGTGACCACAGCGATGATGATGATGCCTACAGTAACAGTGCTGGGGCTGGTAAAAGGTGCGCACTCCTCAAATCTCTGGTAGACAGTGAGCTGCGAGTGAGCACGTTCGGTGCCGAGCGTATTGGACATCACACAAGTGTAGCGTCCAGCATCCTCTAATGTGCTGCTGCCGATCACCAACAGCTGATTTCCTGGAGTGAAGTGATGACGGTCGCTGGCTCGAAGAGGCTCTTCACCCTTCAGCCAGGTGATGCGAGGTGGTGGACTGCCCAAAGCCTTGCACTGCAGTGCTACAGTTTCGCCTACCACCACATTACGATCCTCCATTTCCTGTGCCAGATGAGGGGTCTCTGCAAGAACGTCACAGGGAATAGTTAGTCAATAACTTAAATGGCAATTGTATAAGAAGTATTTCGTTTCTAGTGAATGGTTTACCTTTTTTTTTTTTTTTTTTTACCATGGAAGCAACGTTTCAAAATATCTTTAACAACCAAAGAGAAAAGTAAAGTTTTGGAACAAGTTAAGGGTAATGTAATGATGACAGAATTGTCAATCTGGAAGTGAACTACTCTTTAAGTAACTACTCTTTAAAGGGGACCTACTATGCCATTTTTTACAAGATGTAAAATGAGATGTCCCTACAGTGTACATGAAGTTTCAGCTCCACAAATACCCCACAAATAATGTATTATAACTCTTTGAACCAGTCCATTTTAGGCTTTGATTGTAATTGTAATTTGGGGGGAAAAAATGTAATTACGATTTGTTTTTGTTTTTTTGACCGATATTGCGATTTGATTTACAAATTAATTCAAGCTTTAAGCCAATTTTAATTTAATTCAAACTACAGCTAATAATCTTTAAGCCGTCTCAATAATTCTGCGATAGCTCTTAAAAATGACCTATTTTTATTTGGTGTCTGTGACTTTAAAACCAAAACATATCTATACTACAAATGCTGTTTTTCTTTGATATTAATTAATCTATTAAGGCTTCTAAAGTAGCAAATGCCAAAATCCCACTTGTCAGCACTTTCCTGTTTGTTTTCTTTTTTAATTGTGGGCGTAGTTCAGTTGCGCAATTCTGATTGGGCAGATCGAAAGTGTGCTTACTCGGTTAGCTAGATATAAAGCCACGGACAGATCACACAAATTTGGCACAATTTCCTTGACATCCCAGGTGTCGTGGGAAGTCGTAAACAACAAATGAACAACGTTACACAACATTCAATCGTTTCTTCTCGTGTAATGTGGCATAGTTCATGACAACCATTACCATTACTGAAAGTCTAGCATGTTTCATTTTCTGAAGCATAGCATCGGTTTTGAAGATGTTATTTTTGTTTACATATATACATATAGGTTTTATATTGCAGCCTTATGCGATTAACTAATCGTAACATTTCAAATTGCAATTGCGATTCGATTTCAATAAATCGCACAGCCCTAAGTATAAACAATAAAATTAATATATTTTACCTCTAGAAGCTGGTTATATTCACAGACTGTTGCCACACAACCGTGTTTAAACACCTTTTAAAAATGCTTTTTGCATAAAAGGTCCCCTTTAAGTGAACTAATCCTTCCTTATGATCCCTTAATTATGTCTTGCAATAGTGTTTAGTTTACATTACAGTGGCAAATTGTTGATACTTGCTGTTGCAGCTTGCTTGGTGACATTTCTAATTTAGGGGGAGGTACATTATAAACAAAAACAAATCTAAAGGTGTGCAACATTGAAAAATAAAACTTCTTAGTCCAAGTCCTGAACGAATAACTCTCAAGAGCCGGTTTATTTTTAGTGAATCAAAAACGTTCAGGGAGAGCAGTGTAGTCTTAATTCTGAATAAATGATTCTTATGAACTGGTTCTCTTCCAGTTTGACCAGTATCACAGTGTGATTCATAAAACATGACTCGTGAGCAAGTTATTTCAGTCAATCAAAAACAGTCTAGTTTAAGCTAAATAATGTCTTTCTCAATGTTTTGCCCAAAAGTATGTTAAACCAGTTCATTTTTATTTTACTTTAATAATGTTTGGATTCATATAATTCTTTTCACTAAATCTAAAACATACTGAAAAAACAGTAGTAGTTCTCGAAGGAATCACTCTTAAGAAGAATTAAAAAACAAGGCTCTGTTTAAGCTGATTATACCAAAATATCATATCCTCACTTAAAATGAATATTTGTAGCAATGACTCAGAAACGCACAGAAATACCACTGTGTGAGCCCTCAGCACTTCCTCTACCCCTGTGACCTCATTCCTGACCTTTCACCTTCGAGCCTGCACATAAAGCCCAGCTGCTTCAGATGGGGAAGGGGGAAAATGATTTTACGTAGAACTAAGCAGGGGTTACCAAAATTCACACAGACTAATAAACAAATCCAAATTCCATAATAAAACAAAAAAGTCTTTACATAATGTATTTACACAATATTTAAAGGGGGGTCAAATCAGTTACTTTTGGAGGCTCGATGGGTGTTTATGAGATGCACTGTAATGTGTTCATGCTTCATTGGTTTAAAAAATAAATCACATTCTTATGTTTTTTTTTCATATTTCACACCACAGTTTTTGGTTTTTGTTTGCCTTAAAATGGTTTGTTGACAGCCTGTTGACTAAGTTCCTTGCTTAAAAATACACAACTGACATTGAGTAGTCTGCTTGCCTGGTTTGTTCTGATTCGCTTATTGTCCAGAAACATGTCACATGGGGGGTGGAGTTTATGCAAGTTTTAGGGTTTGTGAGGTTACAAACCAAGGAAAAAGCTTACTGCAGTCCCAACAATATGTTAATTTAAGACTTTAAAAACCAAATACTTTAACTTCCTTTACATTGACCTTTTGAGCATCATATCTTTTCAAATCTTCATGCTCAAACAGCAACATTACACACAAGTTAAAAAGTAAAACAATGATCAGTGTTGGGTAAGTTTCTTATGTAACTAATAGCTAAATTATCTGATTCAAACTGTAAATGGCTTATTTTTATTATTACTTTGTTAAACACCAATAAATTTCAACAAAGCCACATTGTAATTCACACCCCCAGCATATGTAGTGCCATGAAAGTCCTTACTGTATTTAACATTTACACTTGATCTTGATATTAAAACTTCCATTAGACCATTTTAAACAGTAATATTCTTGGAAGTTTAATTCAAAACTAGTAATATTCAAATGTGATTTACGAAATATTTAATAAAACAATATGCATTATTACACCAAAAACAAATTTATTCAAGCACTTTAAAGGCCCTGTGTTTGCTTTTAACAGGGTTTCTGCATGTTTCACCAAGTTAAATGTAAGACTTTAAGACATTTTTAAGACCATTATGAAGGAAATCTTTGACTTATATAGGGGTCTATGCTAAAGATATAATTTTTTTTTCGAATCTCAGTTCCTGCTCTATCAAGAATGATTCAAATTTATTACATTTATTAATATAATACAATAATAATAATTTAGTTTAAATATATTTAAAAATTAATAAAAATATTTATTCACAAACCCTCTAACCCTTACCAAGAATAGAGCAAAACGTAGCTAAAATTACTTCAGTATTCACTTCAGTACTTTCAGTATACTCCAATTACTTCTACAATAATATTCATTTAATAATAAAAATATAGGTCAGGTCAGTATCCTTAGCAGTAACTAAATGGTGAACTTTTAAGCAAATGTTACTGTAAGGAAACTAATTAAATGGTATTTTTAAATAAGATTGTAAAGTCTGAAGATGAATTGTTGGTGATTGTGTGAGTGTTAATGGGCAGATTGGGTAGCTAAACATGAACAAAGGACAATTAAGACCTGTTAAAAAAAATTAAGACCTACAACATAACATTTCAGTAAATTTAAGATTTTTTAGCTTAACACCCCATTCACATTTGGCGTCAGCATCAACGCTTCCCATTTACTTTAAATGGGTGTAGTCAGGCGTTGTGGAACCGTCAGTGATCAGAGTTCAGAGGCGTTGCTCACTGCAGATGCTGGGACCAGCTCGATTTTTCAAGCGCAAACGGAAGCGTCAGCCAATCAGATCCTGTATGCAAATACACCAGCTAGACAGTGGCCTATTGCTGACTGAATTTCATTGGCTGTCGCTTCTATGACGATCGCGTCAGCCCCAACTTCAGACACGCCTTCAGTCAAGCATTGACGCTAAAGCCCCGTATGAATGGGGCGTAAGACTATTTAGCTTTTGAGATTTAGGACATTAAGACTTTAAAACCACATAGACACCCTGTTTAAGGACTTTCCAGGCCTTAAATCCATGTCTGAAATTCAAGTACTTTCAAAAAGTGTGGTAACTCTGCACTCAATAATTATTTGAATCGATACTACCCTATAATCTGCTTCTCTGAACTGATTTGTTTGATTAGTCTGAATCGGAATCATTGAATTTATGTTTAGTGTAAAATGAATGACAATTTCAGTTCAAAAGTAAATTAATAACTGACTAACTATACGCAACACTAATCATGATCAAGAAGCTCTATAAACGCTAAGCTTACCTAGCACTGTTAAGGTGACGTTGGCGGAGATCATGCCTGCTGTGTTTTTCGCTGTGCAGCTGTAAACACCCATATCCTCTGGCTTCACATCCATGATAAAGAACACATCATCATCAGGCATCACACGCATGCGCCGCTCTCGGGCAGCAGGGAAGTCTGTTCCGCCATCTTTCTGCCATGCCACCTGTGGAGTCGGATGCCCTTCGGCCGCACACTCCAACCGCGCTTTGGTGCCTGTGCGGATGGTGATGTCACGTGGGGTCTTGACGAACGAAGGCAGGACTGTGTGCATAAAGAGGCAGAGGAAAATTAGCCTTAGCAAGGACTATTTTCGTAATGTTGCTACATCAGCACTAAACAAGCCCAGCATTCATAGCTGTGACTAACACAATTGGCGATGGGAAATAGCTTGATTTGGACGGGCATGAGACCAAAAATGCCTCAAGACCGTCAATTTGCATCTGTTGCTAGAACTGACAAGGCATGTAATCCAAGTGCACTGCAAACAGCGGAGAGGATAAAAAAGGCCCAAGCTGTAGTACGATCAAGCTGAATTTTGCTGAAACAGTTCATGCAACGTTTGTGCAAAAAGACAAATGATGAGCAACTGTTGCATGATGGGAATTTTGTGCAACTGGTGTGATGATAACAAAAAAATGGCTATGAAATTATTTAATAGTAAAAAAAATGTTATTAATTCACATTTCTGTATAAAGCAATATTTTACATAGTGAAAACTGATAAAACTAACTTCTTTTTTGTTATATTTCTGTGTATACATGAAACAGAATGTTTATTTGAAATATATACATATAAATTTAACAAGTCAATAATATTAACATTTATACATTAGCGTAAATATATTTAAATTATATGTTACAGTATTTTTTACTGTAACAGTAAAGATATCAGGACTGCAACTAAAGCAAGGCTAGTCAGCGCAACTGTCCTCCGCCATAGCTGGACGATAAAGAAGACAGACAGAAGAAAAATCGACGTCATCGAGTTGTGGTGCTGGAGAAAACTTTTGAGCATCCCGTGGAGAGCGAGAATCACCAACAAAGAAGTTTTGAATGATTGGATAATTGATTTGATTTTTTTTAACCATAAACTTTAAGCTATTTTAACTAGTTTTAGCTTAAAACTAAAAGTTCACTAAAACTAAAATAACAACTGACAAACTAAAACTTTATAACATTTTTTAATTTAAACACAAAAATAAAAAGCTGGACACTTGTGGATTTTAAATATAATAAAAAATATACATAATATACATATTACACCAATTGATTATAAATAAATATTGTTTGAATTATATAAATATATTTTCAGCAACAAATACAGTTACTATAACTATAATGCAATATTCATGCAGCTAAAAGTAAACAAAACTGTTATGCAATAATAGTGCATTGGTTGGTCCAGAACTACACTTGGGCCAACCAATCTTTTAATCTTGTAAAATATTTTGAATATTTTTAAATAACTAAATAAATAATAAATATTTAATAAATAAAATAATTATTGTAATTTATATATACCTTGTTTAATCATGAATATTAAATAAATCTTAATCTGAATGTTAATAAATAATAAATTAAGGATCCACTGGCATTTAAAATGTAATTAAATTACTAATTTCGGTTTTCTGCTTGATGCAAACTGTCACTTTTCAGAAGGCCATGAGAATCATAGCGAAAAAGGAATATCAATCGTTACAATCTCTCTGAGCAATCAGTTCTTGACAAAGCTATTAAACCAGTAGCTGACCCCTCGTATAGCTTAATTTGTGAGTTTGGGTTACCGCCTTCTAGTCAATGATTTTAAGAAATCTTTTTACCTACATCAGACTTTTAAATATGTAATATTTGTGTTGATGATTGAATGTTTGTGTTGATTTGTGTTGTCTGTTTTTGTTTAGTGTATGCAAGTATGGGCCTAGCGCCCAAGACAGATTTCCCCATTGGGAACAATAAAGTGTAAAACAAACAAATATAAATGGAGCAGTACACATAGTCAGTTTGGTCTAAAGTACCGTTTACAGTGACGCGGGCCTTGTTGGAGTAAGAGGAGCCGAAGTGATTGCTGATGATGCACTGGTATCGTCCCTCATGGTTGAAGGTGACGTGTCGAAGGTGAAGGATCGTAGTGTACTCCATCACTCCTCCATCGCTGGCCCGCACATGGGCAAAGTTCTCCACCTCAGCCTGGCGGAGTGTCTCCTGGTCCTTTAGCCAGGTGAAGGTCATGGGAGAACTGCTGCTGCTGGCAGCAGTACAGGTCAGACGCACGTCTTTACCCAATACTGCAGCTGTGGTGACTGGGTGAACCGTGATCTGGGGTTTGGGAAGGTCATCTGGAGAATAGTACATGGAGAGACATTTAACACACTTCAAAGTGAGTCACTGTAGATTCATAATTCATCACCATTTATTTTTTGATAAAGTTTTTTGGTTAGCACTTTTTAATAACTACACACTATAAACCATTTATTAAGCATCAGCAAATAGTGAATTCATGTGTTAAGCATTAACTCTACATTAATAAACATTATAAAACAGTTTATAACTAAAGCTACAAATGCTCTATTCTTGAATTAGAAGCACATTTATAATGTGCTTAATAACTGCACTTTTATCTTCTTTCATCTAAAGTGAAGACTATTTATGCTTTATAAATCCCTTATAAATGACAAAGGCTCAGTTTTATTCTAAACAGGAAAAAAGAAAATAAACGACTTTATTCATTCCCATTCGTTTGAAGATACACAAATGAAACTGTACTTCAATTGAACAATAAATCTTTGCAACCTAATCTAAAATAAAATTACAAACATCACATCCTATTATATAGTTAAATTGTTATATTGTTGTTGTTTTATACAATTTTATGTTGTATTTTGACACTCCTGTCATCCAGCAATGTTTAAACTTTACAGTAATTTTACTTTTTAGATAAGATTGCAAAGATTATAAAGCATACGAGCATTTAATCATCATTTATAAGGGATTTATAAAGTATAAATAGTCCTCACTTTAGATTAGGTCACAAAACAGCATGAAGTTGAGTTAATAAAGCATTTATTAACATACATAGTAACCATTAGTATATGCCTGAACAATAATATGTATAAACATTGATTTTAATAGTTTATTCATCATTTACTCACTCATTCTGAAAGATCTTAAAAACCACCAACTATTCTTAAATACAAATGGTTTGTAAATAATGCAATACGTCATTTAGTATTGAAAAGTAAATCATTCACACAGTATGACAATACAATTATTAGGCAAAGTATAAATGTGGTTCTAAGTCAAGAAAAGAGCATTTATAGCTGCAGTTATAAACTGCTTACTAACGTTTATTAATGTAGAGTTAATGCTTAACAGATAATGTATTCACCATATGCTAATGCTCAATAAATGCTTCATAGTGTGTAGTTATTATAAAGTGTTACCAGTTTTTGCATGAACAATTTTGACGATGATAGTGCACTAAACAAAAATAAGCTAATGTAGGTGTTCGCACCAATAAACAAGCTGGTTTGACACACTGCATTAAAATTTAACAGACCAATGAGATTGCAGCTTATGTTCACATGCCTTTAGCTGCTGAACTTACAATGAAACATCTATATTAAAGACTGTTTTGTTTGTACATCATTTGGCTGATTATAAAAACTATGTGGCGATTATTTATTTTCTGTATGTTCACCACATTTTCAAAATTAAGAATTGATAACAAGAGATTGCCAAAAACCCCTCTGGAGAAACCTTTGGTTCTGTATTAAGTCAATTCTAAGTGAACTTATTTAACTTAAATATCGACTTAAATGAACAACTTTAAATCAACATTGAGCCATAACCATTAATTTGCCATAATATCACATCTAGGAAGGTTTCTACCCAAAGTTTATCAATAAAACTCTTAGAACCATCTACTTTTATTCACATCTATGTTCTGGAGGCTTTTAAACAAGGATTTGTTTGTACATAATTTGGCTGAATATTTACAGCAGTTTTTACAAAAAAAAAAAAAAAAACTTTAGGAAATTATTTATTTTCTGGCTGTTTGCTATAATTGAGAGAAGCTATCCGTTTTTGAAATTATAGGTTGATAAAAAGACATTTCAAAAAACCCTCTGCAAAAACCTTTGGCTCTATGTCAAAAATTGAAATTAGTAAGTTGAAGCAGGCATTTTGATGTACTTAAAAGTACTTAAATTAGCACATTTAATTAAATATTGCATAATGTTTGCATATTCGACCATTTTATAAATCTTGTAATAGAAAAAAAACGTATCAACTGAGGAAGTGTATTAATACATTTTGTTTTCACCTGCAGTGAAAATAAAGTTAGTTCTTCCTTATTGTGACTTGTTGGTTATGAAATATGCATGTGTGATATATAACTCTACATACCACAAACAAAGCTCTGTGGTGGGGCTTGGTAGATGCTGGTGCCCTTTAGGCTCTCTGGATGGGCACATGTGGCCTGAACACCAGGGT